GTTTTACCATGTTGCCCAGGCTGGTCTTGAACTCCTGACCTCAAGTGATCCACCGCAGCCAGCTGAGTCTCCCTAATTTTACTCAGTGCTGCTGCAGGCAGGGGCGTGGCCTGGCTGGGCAGTACAGAGCTCCCCATGGTGCTCAGCCTCCAGGGTCGAGCGTGGGTTGTCTTAGCCCCTTGCAGGCAGGGCTGGAGTTCCTTCTGGTACAAGTTTGGGGACCCGGCCCCCCATCCCTTGAAACCGTAGACCCCCCACCAGGTCCTTTCCAGTTAAGTCTGGTGCCTTCCAGCACCCCTGGCCCACAACTCCCTTGACCTGAGACCTGAAATTCACCTACTGCCCTCTGCAGCTTGGTCCAAGTCCAAGTATACCTTCCTCTCCAGCAAGATGCCTGCCTGCCACTCAGCATGTTAGAGCAGGCAGGGCCTCTAGATATTAGTGGGGAAACTGAGGCACTGAGCACAGATGTGATGTCCCCAGTTGGGAAAACATCAAAGACATTCTGGGCTTCTCTCTCTCTCTCTTTCTCTCTCTCTATTTTTAGATGGGGTTTTGCTCTTGTTACCCAGGCTGGAGTGCAGTGGCACAATCTTGGCTCACTGCAACCTCCGCCTCCTGGGTTTAAGTGATTCTCCTGCCTCAGCCTCCCAAGTAGTTGGGATTACAGGCATGCACCACCATACCTGGCTAATTTTGTATTTTTAGTAGAGACAGGGTTTCTCTATGTTAGTCAGGCTGGTCTCGAACTCCCAACTTCAGGCAATCCACCTGCCTTGGCCTCTCAAAGTGCTGGGATTACAGGAGTGACCCGCCATGTCATCTCTTTTGACCCAGAACAAAACCAGCCCAGGAGTGGCTGTCCTCTCACCCCGCACTGCAGGGGCCCACAGCTCCAGGGTGCAGTTGGGTTCTCACAACTTAATGACTGATCCATCTTCAAAAAAGCATAATCTCAACCAGGCGCAGTGGCTCACGCCTATAATCACAGCAATTTGGGAGACCAAGGCGGGTGGATCACCTGAGGTCAGACGTTTGAGACCAGCCTGGTCAACATGGTGAAACCACATCTCTACAAAAAAGACAAAAATTAGTTGGGTGTCATGGTGCACGCCTGTAATCCCAGCCGCTGGGGAGGCTGAGGCAGGAGAATCGCTTGAACCTGGGAGACGGAGGTTGCAGTGAGTCGAGATTGTGCCGCTGCACTCCAGCCTGGGTGACAAGAAGCGAAACTCATTTCAAAATGAAAAAACAAGAAAACAAAAAACAAAAACAAAAACAAAACCCAATAAAAGAATAAAAAAAGCACAGTCTCTTTCAGAATTTTTACCTTCTTGGGATGGTTCCGTCAGGAAAGGCTTCTAAGGGAACCTTCAATAAGTGACCTAAAAAAATCTCAGAGCCATTCTTTTTTTTTTTTTCAGATGCTGTTATGCTGTGTCGCCCAGGCTGGGGCAGCTGCACAGTCTCAGCTCACCTCAACCTCTACCTCCCGGGCTCTGGCCATCCTGCCGTCCCCCCACTTTGGCCTCCCTAGTAGCTGAGACCACAGGTGTGCACCATCACACCTGGCTAATTTTTAGTTTTTTTGCAGAGACGGGGTTTTGTTGTGTTGCCCAGGCTGGCCTCAAACTCTTGGCCTCAAGCGATCCTCCTACCTTGGCCTCCCAAAGTGCTGGGATTACAGGGGCGAATGACCGTTCCTGGTTTAGAGCCATACTTAACAGAGTTTGTCCTCCTGGAGCCTTCGTGAAGCCTCACCCTCTCTGGGAATCCCCTACTGGGTGCCACGGTCATCTCTCCACTCCCGGGTTTCCGCTCTCCCATCCCGGCACGAGATCCCACTGTCAGGCCTTCTTCATGCTCAGTCTCTCTGTGGTGTGGAAGTGGCTACCGGGGGTGCCTCATGGAAGGTGCAAACCCAAGGGAAACGATGATCTGAAACGCACTCAGATAAAGTTTCTGTGCGTTGGGGGCTTTTGGCAGGAATCCAGTTCGATTTTAGAAAAATAAAAATATATGTCTCGCACTTCTGAATTTGCAGGCTAAGGTCCATTCTGTACTTGCAGAAGAGGACAAAAGAGAAAGGAAGGCGGCCAGGCACAGAGGCTCGTGCCTGTAATCCCAGCACTTTGAGAGATCAAGCGGGGTGGATCACTTGAGGCTGGCCAGGAGTTTGAGACCAGCCTGGCCAACGTGGTGAAACCTCATCTCTATTAAAAATACAAAAATTAGCCGGATGCTGTGACACGCCTGTAATCCCAGCTACTTGGGAGGCTAAGGCAGGAGAATCACTTGGACCTGGGAGGCAGAGGCTGCAGTGAGCTGAGATGGCGCCATTGCACTCCAACCTGGGCAACAAGAGCGTAACTCTGTCTCAAAAAAAAAAAAAAAAAAAGACAAAAGGGGCAATTGGGGGAAAACAGTCCTCGCAGCTCACCTAGCATGGCCCATCTTTTTCCTTACTCAGATCACCTGGTGAGGCAGGTGTCCTTGTCCATCTTAGCGGTAAGGAAGTGAGGGCTCAGATTCCCACGGCTAGTCGGGCGGGTACGGGCACTTGAACAAGACGGCGCTTTCCCACAGCCCACATGCTGCCCGGGATCCTGATTCCTAGGCACTGTCCCCAGCCACCCGCCTCTCTGCAGACTATCTGCCACCCCTCCACATGCGCTGGGACACCTGCCTCCAGATGAAGGGGCCTGCTGACGCCTCTGCCTCCCCCAGCAGACCTGAGCTTCCGTTCTGATTCATCTTGGAACTGCCGGTGCTGGCCCATGCTGGGCTTCGGGGACTGTGTGAGGGTGTGTTTGAGGCAAGCCCACTGCGGCGCGGGAGGGGCACTCGGTGACCTCTGTCAGCCCTTGGAGACTCCCGGGAGCCTGCCCAGCTTCCCAGCCCAGTATGACCAGCGGCATGAGTGAGTGTGGAGCTGGTTCTCCAGGCGGATACCTGGCTTAGGTGCCAATGCCTGGAAGGGGGCTGGCAGGTCCATCCGTGAGGGCTGGCGCCAGGGCCACCTGCTACCCCGGGACACAGAGTATTCATACGTCCCTCACACTGAGCCTCAGTTTCCCCCTCTATAAGGCGGCCTCTAGCGCCTACCTCCTAGGTACCAGGACTAAATGAGACACCTCCGTCTGCACTCTGCTGTGACCCTAGTTCCTAGAACCACCAGGCCCCAGCAAGACCTCCCGAATCCATGTGAAAAGCACCCACATAAAGCACCCAGTGCGGGGCCAGAAACCCAATGACGTCTCCGCCGGGTGTCCAAAGGAGCCACACTCACTGCATTTTCCTGCTGCAGCATCCACTGTCTCCACCTTTCCAGCATCACCTGACCATTCTGTACCTCTCAGAGCTCCAGAAGCACACCTCTGACATCCAGGGACCCCCAAACCTCTGCCGTTCACCCCCACAAACACAACCCACTCTCTCTCTGCCTCTCAAAGTCCCATCTTCCCCTAAGGCCCAAACAGGGCCTTCCTTACTCCGGGAAACTCTCCCCAACCCCCTCACTCTCCTGATCCCCCTTTTCGGGGTCCCCATGGCCTGCTGGCAGCTGCCACATCGCTGTACCCTAAGTTCTTTCTTTTTTTTTTCTTGAGATGGAGTCTTGCTCTGTTGCCCAGGCTGGAGTGCAGTGGCGTGATCTCGGCTCACTGCAACCTCCGCCTCCGGGGTTCAAGCGATTCTCCTGCCTCAGCCTCCCAAGTAGCAGGGACTACAGGCACCCACCACCACACCCGGCTAATTTTTGTATTTTTAGTAGAGACGGGGTTTCAACATGTTGCCCAGGCTGGTCTCGAACTCCTGGCCTCAAGTGATGCTCCTGTCTCAGCCTCCCAAAGTGCTGGGATTACAGGTGTTTGCCAACACGCCTGGCCCGCCCTGGAGACTCTGGCGAGCCTTTAGTGCTCACCACATGGCATGTCACCCCACAGGGAGAGCCCCTGCAAATCTGGGTTTGGGAGGTCAGATGCAGCCCATGGTGGAGATGGATGTGGGATGGGAGCCTTAAAAAGGGTCAGGGGCCGGGCGCGGTGGCTCACGCCTGTAATCCCAGCACTTTGGGAGGCCGAGGCGGGTGGATCACGAGGTCAAGAGATCGAGACCATCCTGGTCCACATGGTGAAACCCCGTCTCTACTACAAATACAAAAATTCAGCTGGGCATGGTGGCGTGTGCCTGTAATCCCAGCTACTCAGGAGGCTGAGGCAGGAGAATTGCCTGCACCCAGGAGGCGGAGGTTGCGGTGAGCCGAGATTGTGCCATTGCACTCCAGCCTGGGTAACAAGAGCGAAACTCCGTCTCCAAAAAAACAAAACAAAACAAAACAAAAAAAAAAGGGTCAGGAAGCATGCGCAGGGGCTCACGCCTGTAATCCCAACACTTTGGGAGGCCAGGCAGGAGGATCACTTGAGGTCAGGAGTTTAAGACCATCCTGGCCAACATGGTGAAACCCTGTCTCTAGTAAAACTACAAAAAATAGCCAGGCATGATGGCAGGTGCCTGTAATCCCAGCTACTCGGGAGAGTGAGGCAGGATAATCACTTGAACCTGGGAGGTGGAGGTTCCTGGGCTGTGATCATGCCACTGTACTCCAGCCTGGGTGACAGAGGACTCTGCCTCAAAAAAAAAAAAAGAGCCAGTGTGGTGGCTCATAAGGTCAGGAGATCAAGACCAGGCTGGCCAAGATGGTGAAACCCCCGTCTGTACTAAAAATACAAAAATTAGTCGCGTACGGTGGCAGGTGCCTATAATCCCAGCTGCTTGGGAGGCTGAGGCAGAGAACTGCTTGGACCCGAGAGGTGGAGGTTGCAGTGAGCTGAGATCACGCCATTGCACTCCAGCCTGGGCAACAGAGTGAGACTCCATCTCAAAGAAAAAAAAAAAGAAAGGCAGGGGTGTGGCTTCTGTTCCCAGATTCTAGAACCCGTGTCCCAGCACCATGGCCAGGCCCTATTCCCAACGCTCCCTCCACAGCCAGTGTCTCTTACCAGGCTTTGGGATGAGTCCTTGGAAAGGCCTAGAAGAGAAACAGAGGCAGGGATGTCAGGGGGAGGGCCTAGGGGATGAGGAAGACACCCCTGGCATGGAGTGGCCTCGGTCTCCCCTGGGAGCACCCCAGACCTCCGGCAGCAGAATCTGCATTTTAACAAGCTGCCCTGGGGCTCATTGTGCACGGGACACTGAGGCAGCGTGGCAGGAGCACTGGTGTTGGCAGTGTGACTCTGCAAAACACAGACCTGGGCCTTGTGCAGGCTCTGCCCTGGCTGGCCCTGGGACCCTGGGCGAATCCCTCTGATAGGGACTGAATGCCCTTCCCGGGGGTGGTGGTGCAGTGAGCGGGTGTTGCTCATTAGGGTGAAGATGCCCTCAAAGGCTGCCCTTGCAACAGTGGACTGACCAGTCCCACTTCTGCAGGGCTCCCTGAACCTGGGCTGGCCTGCAGTCCCTCTCTGACCACCTAGGACCCAGGATGGCGCCGGGAGAGCCGCCTTATACAGTGGGAAGGGCAGGTCCTAGGGAAAGGCTAAGATTCGCAGGTACAAGGCCCCATCTGGGCCAGTCCTGCCTCCTCTTCACCCTCACCCTTCCCCCTGAGCACCTGGTGACTGTGAACTTGATCTTGTCGGCCACGGCAAGAATCCTTTCCAGGTTCTGGGAGCCAAAGGTGCAGGGCTTTCGGAACGGGATTCCTGGGGGCAGCCCCTCAATGATCACGGAGCCGGGGTTACTCTTGATCCGCTTGTAGGGCACCTGGACTGGGTACTTGATGCCCAAAGCTTCCCCTGTGGGCGAGAGGGAGGGTCCGGCCCATCAGGAGTGAGAGGCGGCACGGGGCGTGTGTACCTGGGATTGCGGGGGCATGATGGAGAGACATCCCTGCAGGAGAGTGAACGGCACGACAGAGTGCTCACGTAGCACCGTGGAAACGTATAGCCATTATAATCCGAGCTATCCGATCAGAAAATAAAAAGTAGGCCAGCATGGTGGCTCATGCCTGTAATCCCAGCGTTTTGGGAGGCCAAGGCAGGAGGATGACTTGAGTCTAAGAGTTCGAGATCAGCCTGGGAAGCACAGCAAGACCTAAACATTTCTAAACGACAGCTGGGCATGGCAGTGCATGCCTGTAATGCCAGCCACTCGGGAGGCTGAGGCAGGAGGACTGCTTGAGCCCAGGAGTTTGAGGCTG